GTGTGTGAGAGTGAGTGTGTGTGTGAGAGAGAGAGTGAGTGTGTGAGTGTGTTTAATTCTGCACATCTTATTCCATGCTGATGTCTCACCTCTCGGCCTCCGAGAGCTTCTCCACGCCGGAGAGCCACGCACTGAACCCCGCCACACGCCGGAAATTATAATTGTTACACGCCAGCTGTAACAACTTAATCTGAGCGATGACCTCAAACTCCTACAGAGGGAGACAGAGATCATTAAAGAGATAGTTCACCCAAAAATGAAAATTCTGTCATTAATTACTCACCATCATGTCGTTCCAAACCTGTAAGACCTTCGTTCATCTTCGGAACACAAATTAAGGTATTTGTGATGAATTCCGAGAGCTCTCTGATCCTCTCATAGACCGCAAGCATCCTAACACCATCAAGGCTCAGAAACGTAGCAAGGACATCGTTAAAATAATCCATGTGACATCAGGGGTTCAATTGTCATTTTATGAAGCTACGAGAATACTTTTTGTGTGCAAAGAAAACAAAAAGAATAGTTTTTTTCAACAATTCGTCTCCTCCCGCATCACCCTGTAGCGCCATTCTGGAGAGTATCACAAACATAAACAACATATGCAACGTATGTACGCGGATACGCTGTTTACGTTCAGATCGAAGCGCAAACAATGTAAACAGCGTATCCGCGTACATACGTTGCATATGTTGTTTATGTATGTGATACTCTCCAATATGGCGCTATAGAGTGACGCGGAGGAGACAAATGATTGAATAGTAATAAAAAGTTATTTTTGTTTTCTTTGCCCACAAAAAGTATTCGCGTAGCTTCGTAAAATTACGGTTGAACCACTGATGTCACATAGATTATTTTAACGATGTCCTTGCTATGTTTCTGAGCCTTGATGGTGTTAGGATGCTTGCTGTCTATGAGAGGATCAGAGAGCTCTCGGAATTCATCACAAATGTAATTTAATTAATTTGTGTTCCGAAGATGAAAGAAGGTCTTACAGGTTTGGATCGACACGAGGGTGAATAATTAATGACCGAATTTTAATTTTTGGGTGAACTATCTCTTTAACACGAGATCACCGCGTCCGAATCATCATCAGGATCTGTTCCTTCTGTTCAGACGTACCTTCCTTCTCTTCTCGAAGTTGATCAGGCCTCCCTGAGATGCAGAGAAAGAACCAGTTATTACCCATATCTGCAGCTGAAACACATTCAGTAGTAACTGCTAGTGTCTCATTAGCTGAACTGAACTGATGGTTTCTTTAGACGGAGGTCTGTCACACACCAGTCAAAGAATCAGAGAATAAACGACTCTGATTTTTGTCTTCAATTACCGATAGCTCTGCTGGAAGAAGAACAGGAGCACCGCACGGATATACACAAAACCACGGTGCTCAGCACGCACCTCGAATTTAAAGAGGTCATGACATGAGAAACCTAATTTCCTAATAATTTTTGTTTGGATCTGAGGGGCAGGGTGACTTCACCCGGGCACAAACATTTGCATAAACACGCCTCCAGAGCAAGACATGGACGAATAGTTCTTCTCAGCCGTTAAGCGACTGGCGTTCAGTCGCTTAACGGCGGACTTGATTACGCTAAATGTGAGTGTCTTGTTGCATCAAAAGCAAACAGAAATGACAATCACAGCCGCTATCTTGTCTGCACTGGATACAGTATACAGTCCAGCGCTCGAGTCTGCCGTCAGGACTGATGCAGTGAAAGAACGTTCGCTTTGACACGCTTGGTTTAAACAGCTCGGTCGCGTCTTTGAACAGATATCAGGAGGATCCCAGCGTAAGGAACAAGAGGATAGTTTATTTTTAATGTCGTCCCGGATCGTGTCTGAGGATTGATCGGAGTGTTTTGTTTTGTAAACGAGGCACAGTGTCATGGAGAGTCACAAAGAAACATTTGTTAAAAGAGGAAGCGGTACTAGATCTGACTGCAGCTGTTTTATTGTGATCATGTTGTCAAAACACTTGCATGCAATAGTGTGGGGCGTTAATACTGTGTCCTATGCAGTGACATTAGCCAATCACAACAGCGGCTGATTACTGACAAGCCTTAAAGGACACGCCTTTAAGGCGAAAAGAGGGTCAGAATGAGGGTTGAAAATAATAATTTTCCCACATATTTATTTGTTTTTTTCGTGCAAAAACCTTTATTAAAAGGGTCACTGGATGCCCATTTTCCACAAGTTGATATGATTCTTTAGGGTCTTACATTTACATTTACATGACATTAATGAGTCTATAACATACTTTAGTTAAAATTTCTCAATGGTAGTGCAAAATAACACCCTCTTTACCTTGTCAAAAACAACCGAGCAGTTTCGGTGCATGTCCCTTTAAATGCTAATGAGCTCTGCTGACCCCACCCCTCTCTTCTGTGGGGTGACAGCTATTCTCTGAGAGACTCTTAACTTTAGCCGCAGAACTTGCTAATTAGCACATTATTAGGAAAGGCGATTTACAAAGATTCATAAAAATACCTTATACTCATGTCTTCTGTAGGTGAAGCTGGATCATGAATGATTCGCGTGAAAATAAGCACATTTAGGTAGATTGGGGAGCACATTCCCTTTAAAAACCAAATTAATCCACTGCGTCTTCAGCGGCTCAGATGTCGGGAGTAAATGA